CATTTACGATTTCATAAAAGAAATTTAAGATTTTCATTATCACCGGAAGTAACGTCATTTTGGCAAAAACTGTATTTTTAGCCTTCAAAACAGATATTTTATTCAAATGAGTCTGATTTGTAATGTTTTTAAAATTATGGTATTTGATTCCAATCAACAAATAGATTGAACCCATACGACCATACAGATACCAGAAAATAGTTTCTAATTTGTACGGTTGCAGAGAAATAGAAGGTTTTCTACAAGTCACTTTGATTTACATCAAATTTTCACCATGTGATGCCTTATGCCATTTCTAATTTCATAAAAATAATTGAACATTTTCATTATCACCGGAAGTACTGTACACTTATAAATAAAAAAATGTATAAAATGAATTGTTATTGCTGGATTTGGTTGATTCGGCGTCAATTTTATTTGATGTGTGCAATGCTTATGTGGAAACCTGTTTAATGGTTTCATTGGTACCGGAAGTGACATATGTTTAGGGTAACGCGGCACCGGTGAAACCTGTCATTACTGCTTCGCAGTTCTAGTTATTATTATTATTATTTACCGCGGGAGCCTTTTTCTCCATGATCGGAAACAGATATCGATCTGGAACCAAATTTTCTATAGGGAAACCATGTGGTGGTTACTTGATAAAGTATAGGGAAACCATGTGGTGGTTACTTGATAAAGTATTTTTGAAACTTCTGCGCAGACCAGAAGTGGCCGAATTTTGAACGGTAGCAATAAATCAAAAAGCGGCCGTAGTTTCGCCAATTCTTTGCCTATTTTAAAACAATTCACATTTTTGGAAACCCTGAATCTTTTCCTAGACAATGGCTATCTCATATTTTTGAATTTCGAACATTCATCTATGGCTTTTGTCGTTCGAAATTTGAAAATTTAAATTTTTACAAAAAACTTTTTTATTTGTGAATATTTTTTAGTCGTGTTTTACACAAAATTAACGAGTCATCTGACTTGGGCAAAAATGTGAATTTTTTTTGTCTCAGTAATTTTCCTTGGCCGCCATTGGCTAATTCAGTTTTTCAGTCCTAGATGAATTATTATTATTTACAGCAGGATCCTATTTCTCCATGATCGAAAACAGATATCGATCTGGAACCAAATATTCTATTGGGAAACCAGGTGATGGCTACTCCTCAAAACAATTTTGAAACTTCTGCGCTTACCGGAAGTAACCGAACTTTGTACTTTTTCGCGATATTGAAAATTGGCAGTGGTTTCGTCAATTCTTTAACTTTTTTCAAACAAATGACATTTTCAGAAACCCTGATTCTTTTCCGAGACAATGGCTATCTCAAATTTTTCAGTCGAAATAATGTCGGGAATTTTGAAAACAAAACCGTAAAAAATGAGTGCTTTTCAGAAAAACGCGATTTCTCCGTCCGATATTTCTTCGGCTCGGGGAATGGACTGTCGTATGATGCCCGAATTATACGGATACTATGAACAGGCAGCAAAATATGGCATGCTGAAAATCAAGTATTTTCTGAGTTGCAGCGTTTTTGGACGCCTGTATCTCGAAAACGGCTCCAAGGATTATTCTTAAACTTTCCCTATCGAGAGTCCCTCCGGTAGTCTTGTGCATGAATCCATCCAATAAGACATTGAAATGTCTGGAATAGGTACAATAACGTACTGAAAATCGAAAAAAGTTGAAAAATCGTTAAATTTTGGAAAATGCTCTATTACTTTATTATTTGAACACATTTTTACAAAAAAGTTACACATTCAGATAGCTGACCTAATTACAATTCTAACGATGTATAATATTTATTGAAATATTTAAATTTAATTTTCGATATATTGTCATTTTTTTATTTTTGACCCTATTGAACATAGGATTTTCCAGGGGCATTTCATCTGACCAGACAATGTAATATATCATTACATAGCCCTGTGGCTATTTGATAAGCCAATCCAGTTATTAAAACTATCCCGACAATAATCTCCATACCGGAAGTATTCAAAAAATGAAGAAAAAGGGTTAAAAAAAATAGCACTCTTGCGAAAAACTTGATTTCTCCATCAGATGTTAGCGGACCAAAAAAACTAAAGCATCGCTGGATAGCCCCATCAATGGACTATCATATGACATCTGAATGATACGATTTAGATGGCTAGAAAATAAAATATGGTATGCCGAAAATCTAGCATTTTCCGTTTTGGAGCATTTTGAGACGCCATTTTCTCGAAAACGAACACTACGATTTTTCTTAAACTTTTTTTACTCAGAGTACTATCGGTGGATTATGGCGTGAGTCCAAAAATAAAAGCATTGAAATAATGTAAGATGTCCAAAAAGAGCCTCAATCTTGGAAAAAAGTTGAAAAATCCTTAAATTACTGAAAATACTCTACCATTTTTCTTTCTTTGGAAAACAGCTGTTTGGATTTTTCTGAAACTTCTTGTACAGAAGGTTAGGTAACCAAACAACTTATTAAAATTATCCCGACAATGATCCAAAAACCGGAAGTAGTCGAAAAAATATCCGATATTTTGAGAAAAAAAAACCTAAAAGTAAAAAAATGTTGATCTTGCGAAAAAAGTGATTACAACGTAAGATTTCAAAACAACTAAAGTGTCATTGTCATTGGATAGCCCGAACAATGGACGATCATATGACATCTAAATGGTAAAAATTCGCTGGTTAGGCAATATATAATGGGACGCTGAAAATCTAGTATTTTCATTTTTGGGGGCTATTCAGATGCTTTCATCCCGAAAACTTCTCTTTTTTCCTTTCTTAAACTTCTGTTTATTAGAGTCCTAACGGTGGTCTAGGGTGTGAATCCAAATTTAAAAGCCTCAATATAGTATAAATGAATCGTTTCTTCCATATCTCGGTCTTGTCCTGGTCTTGGGGACTATTCAGATGCTTTCATCTCGAAAACTTCTCTTATTTCCTTTCTTAAACTTCTGTTACTTAGAGTCCTAACGGTGGTCTAGGGTGTGAATCCAAATTTAAAAGCCTCAATATAGTATAAATGGTCAAAAGAGGGCCACAATCTTTGAAAAAAGTTGAAAAATCGTTATGTCTTTTTCTAATGGTCTAATGGTATAAGGGAGATAAGACATTGGCATCAGACTACCAATTATTTGCTAAATATTGTTAAATATCTTCTAATTTTACTTTTCCCTTAAAAACTGTCCAATGGATCTTTCTGAAACTTCTGGTACAGGAAGTTAAGTTCCCATACAACGTGTTAAATCTATCTCGACAATGATAGGAAACAGGAAGTAGTCGAAAAGATATTCGATATTTAAAAAAAACAGTAAAAATTGGTGCTCTTGCAAAAATCGTGATTCCGCCGTCGGGTGTGGCCGCATCAAAACATCCAAAGTATCGTTTGGTAGCTCGATGAATGGGCTATTGTATGACAAACTTCCTGTCTGATTCCTGAAAGCCGGTTCAGTGCTGCTTGCAGGTCTACTCTTTGTCTGAAAGCCTATTGAGATTACTAAAATTATATTAACTTTATATTAAAGTGATCAAGGGCCATAACTCTGGCAGTAATTATCGGAAATCGCTGAAAATCAATAAGCTTCTTCGTCACAAGACCTTAAACACTGTGTATAACTTTAAAGTCAATCGGATATTAACTTTAGCCTCTAGAGCGTCCACGAGATTTTTCAAAGTGATCAAGGGCCATAACTCTGGCAGTAATTATCGGAAATCGCTGAAAATCAATAAGCTTCTTCGTCTCATGACCTTAAACACTGTGTATAAATTTGAAGTCAATCGAACATTAATTTAACCTCCAGAGCGTCCACATGATTTTTCAAAGTGATCAATGGCCATAACTCTGGTAAAAATTATCGGAAATCGCTGAAAATCAGTAAGCTTCTTCGTCTCATACTTTTAAACAATGTGTATAGGATTCTTCATCTCATGACCTTAAGCACTGTGTATAAATTCAAAGTCAATAGGATATAATAACTTTGGCCTCTAGAGAGTCCACAAGATTTTTTTGAAGTGATCAAGAGCCATAACTCTGGCAGTAATTATCAGAAATCGCTGAAAATCAATAGGCTTCTTCGTCTCATGACCTTAAACACTGTGTATAAATTTAAAGTCAATCGGATATTAACTCTAGCCTCTAGAGCGCCCACAAGATTTTTCAAAGTGATCAAGGGCCATAACTCTGGCAGTAATTATCGGAAATCGCTGAAAATCAATAAGCTTCTTCGTCTCATGAATTTAAACACTGTGTATAAATTTAAAGTCAATCAGATATTAACTTTGACCTCTAGAGCGTCCACAAATTTTTTTAAAGTGATCAAGGGCCATAACTCTGGTAGTAATTATCATGACCTTAAACACTATGTATAAATTTAAAGTCAATCCGATATTAACTTTGACCTTTAGAGCATCCACAAGATTTTTGGAAGTGATCAAGGACCATAACTCTGGCAGTAATTATCGAAAATCGCTGAAAATCAATAGGCTTCTTCGTCTCATGACCTTAAACACTGTTTATAAATTTAAAGTCAATCGGATATTAAATTTAGCCTATAGAGCGTCCATAAGCAACTGCCTGACAAAATGGCCGTCCCTCGTCCGCAAATGGTGTAAAAATATGGTATATCAAGGTTTTTGACCCTCTAGAGGCCGCAATTTTTATCCAATTTTGATGAAACTTTAAATTTAACCATATATCACAAAGATCTTGGTTCTTTTTGATAATTGTGCATATATGAACGAAACTTCCTGGATTATGGCCTCTGATTGTTCGAAAAATCGCGTTAGCTTGTGGATTCTCTAGAGGTCACAATTTTTATTTGATTTTGATGAAACTTAAAATATATCTTAAAATCCCAAAGATCTCAATCCCTTTTGATATATGCGCATTTCAGACCATAACTTTCTGGATTATGGCCTCTGATTGTATGAAAAATTTCTTTAGTTTTTAGCTTATTCTCTGTCCATCTCTTGCAAAATGTGGGCGTATCTTGCCTAGCAGCCGCTGTTTTTTTTTCTTTTTCAGAGTCAAAATGATCTACATTTTTTTGCGGTTCCAGTACTGCTGTGTTGTATCTTCGGCTATTTTGTTGCTCACTGCTTTCTGTCTGTTTTTGAGGTAAGTGTAAAACATGCACACTTGTCACCATATTTTAGATTTTCTACTGTATATCAGATTTATCAAGTACATCATATCTCTCGGTCGCCAATGTCGCAATTTGCGATAAAAAAAACCCCTGAAAGTGGCAATTAAAATTTTATTTTTGCGATAACATTTTGGGGTACTGACCAGGGCCTATTTTAACATGCCTACAGACACAGACGTGCCTCGGAATAAAAAAATCTGTGCTTTGAAAATCTGAAATACATGCTTTAAAAAAATGGTGTGTATCCTTGTGAATCAGAGAAGATAGTATGCGGAAACTGAGCAAGTGCGTCATTATGTCATCGATGACGTTTCACATTCGCTGTTCAAAGTTACTTGTTTTGTATGAAAATATCTGAAAAAAAGCAGTGAATGACCCACTTTACTGACTAAAGCACGAAAATTAGCCGATTTCCTTGATGTAAAAGGGAGAAAGTTACCAGGCGCAGGTTACAATGAAGGGTCGTTTGCATCATCCTCGAATTATTTGGTTATTAGAATTTAAATGAAATGATAATTTGTAACTTTTTTTTATCACGCTTCTAGAGAGCCTGGATTTCAGAAGGTTCCCTTTGATAGTAGGGCTGATGAAGGTGATGAGGGTAAATATATTGAACTCACAAAGTTCTTCCCCTCTGCAAACCCTTATCTTCGGAAACCATGCTTCGTCAATAAAACCATGCTTCGTCAATAAAACCTTAAAATAGGCCCTGGTACTGGTGATTCTTTTCGAGAACTGGCGGAAAGAAATTTTAAAAATTGAATCATATTTATCTTAGATTGACCATTACGGTGAGTGTCAATCACAATCACGTGGTGGCCTACTATAAATTAATCAACTAGCTAGTAATCCAGAATGTGTCAATGAATAATGTTAATCAATTCTCTTGGATTAACAGTTTTAAATGAATACGGTAATTGCCAATGATAAAGCATGATTATTTTAGCTTATTTAGACATTTATTAACATGACAAACCCATAATCAACTCTCTAGTCGATTGGATGGCAGTGATTTAAATTGATTAGTCTGGTTTGTCCAGTAGCATTTGTACTATAATAAACAATCTTCACTACATCTATCAACACTCATAATTGGAATTCAATTATCAATATATATTTATTTTTCATTATCTATTGTTGAACTATTATAACAAGAGCTGATAGCTCTTTATCTAAATTTTACATAATGCATCTTTAAAGGAAAACAAAATGAACATGTGTATAAAAAGTATGATCCATTTTGGCGATAAAGATGACATTACAAATGGCGCTCAAAACCATTATGTCCATAGAGTACATGAGGTCGTGTACTGATGTTAAAATGTTCATTGTGTCTTAAATATTGGATGTTTATTAGGATCCCATATTGTCACGATAAGAGAACCACATCAGTATTGATTTAAATGGACCAATATTGAATTTTAATTTCGAATATTATGGATAATTTTGAGTTAAAGGTTTAGCTCCTTTAAATTTAATAATACAATTAAAACTTGTTATATTTAGATGGTAATAGATGCTTTGTTATTGTGTTTTTGTGAGGATTGTGATCTCAATGATGGTACCATAGAACGTCCATATTTTGGTAATAAATCTTTGATGGTAAGTGGTTATTATAAGTATTGTTAATCATTGTTAATACATTCTTATAGCATAGTTCACATATTCCCTAAAGAAAAGAAACTTATCACATCTTGCAAATGAGTTTGACTTTTGCATGGTTTAATCATATCAACATAAGGATATGAGTTAGATAGATTTCGATAAGGAAAATACTAATCTGTGGATTTTGGCAGGAAAATACTGTAATATTTTGTAGATGTTGATAGAGCTTTCTGTAATGGATCACTGTAGTATTCTATAGTTTTTCGTTTTGGGTCACTTCAATTTTCTGCAGCTATGGGTAATTAGAATGTAATAGATTTTTTAATCGTCCACATTCATAATGTAAACGTATTATGCCGTCGCTCCTGTTTGATTTTTGATTGATCTTCTTCAAATCAGGTATATGGTATATTAATCATTATGCTCTAAGGATGATCCTAGTGATTTCGGTACATTTGGCTCAGAGTTATGCTGCCTGATAAAAAAAAATTGTGAATCGCGTACAGGTCAAATGGAAGTTTGCTTAGGCTTACCTAATTATTATGCCCCAGAATGACCTCTATTGATTTTCATTCACCTGACTTAACTGCTGTTTTTATACGCCCATTTTGGTAATGAATGAGTACTACCGAATGCATCATATTGGTTTATGGAGTTGCCTCCCTCCGCATTGGTGTTGTGCGCGTTGTTGGGGGCATTCTGCAAAATTATCTTTGAACTGGCTAGCAAACCTAAGAGGAAAACAACCAAAACTACAGTTTTTTTAGAACTCCCTGACTCAGACGACGGTTCCGGCGATGAAAATTTTGCACATAAGGTTAATTTTATCACTGGGGGTGATGAAAACTATATTGACAACAATGCCGCGGTCGACCAGTCTCAGCACCTGTAAATGCCACTACAAATGATAAGGATGTGGTCGGCACAACAGAATTATTGAATTTTGAACAGCAATTGGCACAGATTTGCCTTGAAGTGAGAGTGATGAAACTTGGTGTATAGTTTCATTACATCAATACCTTGACTAAGTTCGATAATGAACATTTTCTGCTCAGGGTAAGCAGAACGATAAGCAATTTGATTGGCCGAGACTTTGGAACACAATAACTCTCCTTCTAATTGAGGCAGAATGTTCAAACTTGGTGTAGGTTTTCATTAGGTGAATGCCTTGATCTAGTTCGATGATAACATTGTCTGCTTGCAGAGATAAGGAATCTGATTGGCTGATGCTTTGGGGCACGATAACTTTGGTTATATTGTCGTCGCCAATGTCCTCCGTCCGTCCACAATTGTTTGTGAACACTCTAGAGGTCACAATTTTTATCCGATTTCAACAAAACTTGAAATATAGTTGTATCACCCTCAGATCTCCGTTCCTTTCGATATTAGCATGTATCAGGCTGTAACTACATGGATTATGGCCCTTGATTGTACGAAAAATCACGTTTTTGGCTTGTGAACACTGTAGAGGTCACAATTTTTATCCAATTTGGTTTAAATTTGAAATATATGGTCCTTTCGATATTTGCGCATATCGAATTGTAATTTCCTGAATTATGGTCTGTATTAAATTTATATGCATCATTTAGATTAGTAAAACAAAGAGGCTTATACGTTTTAGTATATAACCGTTACACGCAAAGGATGGCTGAGTTCGAATTTCGTGAAAATCGGACCAAAACTGACTGACAAAATGGCCGCCAATCGTTCTCAAAACGTGTAAAAATATGGTATATCAAGGTTGTGGATCCTATGGAGGTCACAATTTTTATCCGATTTTGTTTAAACTTGAAATGTAAGTTTATAACCCAAAGATCTTGGTTCTTTTCGATATTCGCGCATATCGGATCATAACTTCCTGAATTATGGTCCCTGATTGAACGAAAAATCACGTTTTTAGCTTATGGACCCTACAGAGGTCATAATTTTTATCAGATTTAAAAAAACGTTTTAGTATATCACCGTTACACCCTAAGGATGGTTGAGTTTGAATTTCGTGAAAATCGGCCCAAAACTGACAGACAAAATGGCCGCCCCCCGTACTCAAATAATATCAAGGTTGTGGACACTCTAGAGGTCACAATTTTCTTCAGATTTTGATGAAACTTGAAATTTAAGTTTATAACCCAAAGATCTCGGTTCCTTTTGATATTCGCACATATCGGATCGTAACTTCCTGAATTATGGCCCCTGATTGTACGAAAAATCTTGTTTTTAGCTTGTGGACAATATAGAGGTCATAATTTTTATCCGATTTGTTGAGTTCAAATTTAGTGAAAATCGGACCAAAACTGACAGACAAAATGGCCTCCCCTCGTACTCAAATAGCGTAAAAGTATGGTTGTGGACCCTCTAGAGGTGACAATTTTCTTCTGATTTTGGTGAAACTTGAAATGTAAGTTTATAACTCAAAGATCTTGGTTCCTTTTGATATTTGCGCATATCGGATCGTAACTTCCTGAATTATGGCCCCTGATTGTACGAAAAATCGCTTTTTGTTTAGCTTGTTCTCTATCCATCTCTTGCAAAATGTGGGCGTATCCTGCCTGGCAGCCGCTGGTTATTGAAAGTGTGATTACTTTCGCGCATTTTCAGCTTATTTTACAAGAATGATATGATACAAGAATGACTGCGCATTCCCTTTCAGTGCAAATGAACCTATTTGACCTTTGACCCCGAATATCGAAAACACCCCAACGGCGGACTGATTACCACTCGGCATCGTATTCTACGCAAAATTTTACTCTAGAGGTGACAAGTTTCTTCTGATTTTGATGAAACTTGAAATGTAAGTTTATAGCCCAAAGATCTTGGTTCCTTTCAATACTCGCGCATATCGGACTGTAACTTCCAGAATTATGGCCCCTGATTGTACGAAAAATCACGTTTTTATCTTGTGGACCCTATAGCGATCATAATTTTTATCCCTAAGGATGGTTGAGTTCAAATTTCGTAAAAATAGGACCAAAACTGACAGACAAAATGGCCGCCCCTCGTACTCAAATAGTGTAAAAATATGATATATCAAGGTTGTGGACTCTCTAGAGGTCACAATTTTCTTCTGATTTTGATGTAACTTGAAATTTAAGTTTATAACCCAAAGATCTTGGTTCCTTTCGATATTCGCACATATCGGACCTTAACTTCCTGACTTATGGCGCCTGATTGTACGGAAAATCACGTTTTTAGCTTGTGGACCCTGTAAAGGTTATAATTTTTATCCGATTTCAAAAACCGTTTGAATATATCACCGCTTCACCCTAAGGATGGTTGAATTTGAATTTCATAAAAATCGCCCCTCGTACTCAAATAGCGTAAAAATAAGGTATATGAATGTTGTGGACCCTCTAGAGGTGACAATTTACTTCTGATTTTGATGAAACTTGAAATGTAAGTTTATAACCCAAATTTCTTGGTTCCTTTCGATACTTGCGCATATTATGCCTCCTGATTGTACGAAAAATCGCTTTTTGTTGTCCCCCGCCTTACAAAGAAAGCAGGGGACTATTAAAATGGGTTTGTCCGTCCGTTTGTCTGTCTGTCCGTCACACTTTTTGGGACACAATAACTCTAGATTTTCTAATTGAGCTAGAATGTTCAAACTTGGTGTATTGGTTTATGGATGCGGGTCAGTTCATCCCACAAACGTTTCACCCCGGGCTGTTTCATCTCAACCTGATTTTTTATCGGACTGTTTAATCCTGGGTTGTTTCATCCCCCTTGTTATTATAATAGCAGTCAATTACCCGAGTTGTACTTATCGTTAAATAAACTGTTAAACACTTACTTATTGTTAAATAATCAATAATGTATGGAATAAATAAGTTTTACTCGTCGATTTTTGTTGATTACCGATCACGGCCAAATTAGTTCGGTGTGCCCCCACTATGCCCACTTTTGAAAAATAAGGGATTAAGTCCAATTAATTCTTAATTGGATTAGTGTATTAATCGGATTAGTATATTAAGCAGATTAGGATTAGTTGGTAGTGGGCACTTGGAAGGAAAAAAAATATAGATATTACTGTATAAAGTTTTATTTTTATTTTTCTGTTTGATATATCATACATCACATTTTACAATTCAATAAAAATATAACATACCTATAATAATAGTTACAACAAGATAAATATGAATTGGTTAAAATTATAATCATAATAGTAAACAATAAAAAAAAATATCATAATAGTAAAACATAAACAATAAAAAAAAATATCATAATAGTAAAACATAAACAGTAAAAAATCAAAAATCATTCATGTCATTTACAAAGCAGTTAAATGGGCTACGCAATCGGCATATTCAAATAAGGTCTTTATACCGTTTTGAAGATCAGTTTTCAGGGTTTGAAGTCGGGTTTCAAGTTGCCGGTACTTCCTTCTCTTAGGCCGTAATTTGCCGTTGGCACCCAACTGTAGTATAGTGACCTCAGAGTACGCTTGCTCATTCTCCTGATGTGGTCTTGGTGTAGGAGTCTGGATGTCGTTGCGGGTCTGAGGAAGTACTGGAAGGATCTTTGCTCGGGCTCTATACAGGGAAGAACTGCAACTGTAGAGTGTTGGTACCTCACTAATTATCTCAGTTGAGTCAGGGTCAGATCGAAGGGCTCTACACAAAAAAAGAAAAAAGAAAAAAATATTCATTAATCCTAGATAAGACGCTCGATTGATTCGTTTAGAAAAAATTGTTCATTATGCTTTCACATTGAAGCCTTTAAATCATCGACACTCAAGATTACAGATTTACAAATGAATTCTAAATGCATTTAGATAAATACATACCTGATACTTCCTCTTGATAAATGGCAAAGACTGGTTTGGTTTCCTCTTGCACCTTGGTTTTCATGGCAGCATGAAATTTGTCAAATGCCACCTTGTGTGGGTTAGCAGCGTGGCTGTGGTTTCTGGAATATTTGGTGATGAGGCCATGATGGGTGTTCAGGGTTGCTGGACAACCTCGTATACAACATCTCCACCCGTTCTTCCTTCCTATTCTTCA